ACCACTCATATGGTCTCTCGTCGTAGTGTGCTTGTGAACTAACACCATGTGACTGGTGACTACCGGTAAGCTTCATAATGAAACATTATGTGACAGGTGAAATGAAGAATGCGATCTTCTTTATCTCCGAACGTATATAAGTTGACTTGAGGGATTTACTTTAAAAAGTAGCAACAAATATTCACATTTATTTTAAAAACTTCAAAGAAATAGTATTAACGGTATTGAAAAACCATCCCGTGGCTATTTCCAAATAACCCATTATACGGTATATATACGGTATACCGCCCAAGCCTAATTGGGACACCGTGTGTCCTACTGACCTAGGTGCGGCAGGGGTTGGGTTAAATGCGGAAGACACATTTTGGTTGAATGCATTGAGTTGTGCAACTGACTAGATATACCCCTTTCCCTGTGGTACTGCTTGGCCAATTGATCTAATTTCCTGTTGGTAACACTAGGCTAGCTATCTCTCTCCAGGTGGTTGAATTCTATTGTCTATGATGTTATTATTTTCTGTGATATTATTGAGTTCTGCTGGAAGGTCAACGTGAAGCTTATGAATGTCTGCTGCTATTCCCATTAACCCTGAGGAGCTAAGGGACAGACACTGTTCATCCAATTTGTAAGTCGCTCTGGATAAGAGCGTCTGCTAAATGACTTAAATGTAAATATGTATATACTGCATTATATTCTACTCTATCTTAGTCCATGCCGCTCTGTCATTGCTTGTCCATATATGTATTCTTAAATTCCATTCCTTACTAGTTTTGTGTGTATTGGGTATATGTTGTGAAATTGTTAGATATTACTTGTTAGATATTACTGCACTGTCGGAGCTAGAAGCACAAGCATTTCGCTACACCCGCTATAACATCTGCTAAACACGTGTATGTGACAAATAACATTTGATTTGATTTGAACAGAGTGGTCCTCTGTAGCTCAGCTGGTAGAGCACGGCGCTTGTAACGCCAAGGTAGTGGGTTCGATCCCCGGGACCACCCATATACAAAAATGTATGCACGCATGACTGTAAGTCGCTTTGGATAAAAGCGTCTGCTAAATGGCATATTATTTTTATTATTATTAGAGTGTCGGCAGTCAATCTCTTTAGTATTCACACAGCAAAGACCTTGGAAGTCATCAGCCACTCAGCCTTGTTAAAATACTCCAAACCAGAAGGTGGCAGTAGCGTTGTTTGGCAATGCATATCTGTGCGTATTGCTTATGGTCTAGATTCTAAGCTGTCTGCGCTAATGTTGCTATTTTTTAGAAAGCCCTTGTTGATACTAGCCAGATGGCCATAGCTAGATAACTACCTAGCAAGATGAAGTAGAAACAATTTAATTCACTCTCCATAATCCCATACTGCCAGTGCCAGCCCATAGCCAAATGTTTAGCTAGCTAGCTAACGTTAGCAGTTTGCTAGCTAGCACAATATAGCTAGCTAAGGACACTGCACTAACTCGGCAGCTAACACAGGCAGCTGTCTCACGAAAACTAGCTAATCCATTGTGATTTAATTATAATGTCAATACAGTGGTTAGCTAGCTTGGAGGAAGTATTTAGTTTTGTGTGCATTGCGTCTGTGAGCTTAGCTAGCGACCATCCCGTAGCCTACATTGCATATGAAGTGTGACTGGCTCATCCGTGGCTGTACAGAGAAAATGCCCTATTCTTTTCTTTTTATTTGCTCCCTCCCCCACGTAAGAGTTTGTGCTCTCTGATTGGCTCAAAGTCAAGTTGTTGGCCACTGACGAGTATTGAGATTCTACAAGTACAATCGGTAGGGTCGTCGCTACCAGGTCGGCACGCAGCAGGTACCGCTTTTGTTCTACAAAGAGACGGAACAGCCTTCTCTTACTATCGGCAGTGAGATTTTCAGTGTGTTTCATGCTTAAGGCAACTAGATTCAGCCGCGGACCGATTTTGGAGCAAATGGTCTGGGGGCCGGAAAATAATTAGAATAATTTGTACACTTCCAATTGACCACAACTAAGCCTAAAAAAAGAGATTGTAGTTGAAAATAACATTCATTTCATACCTTGATTACATTGATGACAATCACATCTATTTTTTTTATTTGGGGGGGAATACTTGGGAACAGATTTCATAAATTTAAACACATTTTTAGCTGAAGTCTTTTTTGACCAAAACCTAACTTATTGGATAAGTCCAGTTAGTCCTTCTGTTTCAGTCAATTTTCTTCCGTTTAGTGCCTACTGAAGATGACCCGAGATGCACAGAGGCTTTAGTTCCAGTCCAACAAACCTGATTAAACTTACCTACACCAATTAATCATCAGGGCAGTGTATGAGCCAGTTGATGAGTTGAATCAGGTGCGTTAAAAGGGATACTGCGAGATTCGGGCATTTAAAGCCCCCATGATGCATTAGGGCCAGTACACCAGTATCACGATAATCGTTAGTATCCTGGCAAGGAAACAAAACACGAAGCGGATTTAACTTCTTTAGGAAAACAGCCCTAATTTTGAAAACAAACATCATTATGTTGTCATCCAGAGTCACATGTATTTATTTTCCAAGCTATATCACAATATATTACATACAGCAGGTTTGTAAAGGACCAAAGAGTTTGGTCTGCTTAGTGTTTTAATTTTTGCCATGTAAATAATATTGCGATACTACTGGTATCGTCCTGGCCCTACCATGCAGTCTTTTAAATGACATTTTTAAATCATCACTGTATGTTTAAAAAAATCACTGTCTGTATTTATTTCATGAAAATAACTCCAAATATATCTGTAATCATTTAATCAGTTATTTCCCTGATTGGCAGATAGCATTGTCTAGACTCTAGAGCAGGGTTGCCCAACCATGTTCCTGGAGAGCTACCCTCCTGTAGGTTTTCACTCCAACCCCAGGAACAGGATTGGACGGTAGCTCTCCAGGAACAGGGTTGGAGCAAAAACCTACAGAACGGTAGCTCTCCAGGAACAGGGTTGGGGTGAAAACCTACAGAACGGTAGCTCTCCAGGAACAGGGTTGGAGTGAAAACCTACAGGACAGTAGCTCTCCAGGAACAGGGTTGGAGTGAAAACCTACAGAACGGTAGCTCTCCAGGAACAGGGTTGGAGTGAAAACCTACAGAACGGTAGCTCTCCAGGAACAGGGTTGGAGTGAAAACCTACAGGACGGTAGCTCTCCAGGAACAGGGTTGGAGTGAAAACCTACAGGACGGTAGCTCTCCAGGAAACAGGGTTGGAGTGAAAACCTACAGGACGGTTTTAGCTCTCCAGGAACAGGGTTGGAGTAAAACCCTACAGGACGGTAGCCTCTCCAGGAACAGGGTTGGAGTGAAAACCTACAGGACGGAAGCTCTCCAGGAACAGGGTTGGAGTGAAAACCTTACAGGACGGTAGCTCTCCAGGAACAGGGTTGGAGTGAAACCCTACAGGACGGTAGCTCTCCAGGAACAGGGTTGGAGTGAAAACCTACAGGAACGGTAGCTCTCCAGGAACAGGGTTTGGAGTGAAAACCTACAGGACGGGTAGCTCTCCAGGAACAGGTTGGAGTGAAAATTACAGGACGGTTTAGCTCTCCAGGGAACAGGGTTGGAGTGAAACCTACAGGACGGTAGCTCTCAGGAACAGGGTTGGAGTGAAAACCTACAGAACGGTAGCTCTCCAGGAACAGGGTTGGAGTGAAAACCTACAGACAGTAGTCTCCAGGAACAGGGTTGGAGTGAAAACCTTACAGAACGGTAGCTCTCCAGGAACAGGGTTGGAGTGAAAACCTACAGGACGGTAGCTCTCCAGGAACAGGGTTGGAGTGAAAACCTACAGAACGGTAGCTCTCCAGGAACAGGGTTGGAGTGAAAACCTACAGAACGGTAGCTCTCCAGGAACAGGGTTGGAGTGAAAACCTACAGAACGGTAGCTCTCCAGGAACAGGGTTGGAGTGAAAACCTACAGAACGGTAGCTCTCCAGGAACAGGGTTGGAGTGAAAACCTACAGAACGGTAGCTCTCCAGGAACAGGGTTGGAGTGAAAACCTACAGAACGGTAGCTCTCCAGGAACAGGGTTGGAGAACCCTGCTCTAGAGTCTAGAGCCTACCCCTTCAAAGTAGGAGGAGACATATGCAAATAAAAGATGATGTATTGTGATGTCATGCTGTGGGCCAAAAACTCCATCCCACTTGAACAGGCTGAAATTCCAGGCTTTTTCAAAAAGCTCTTACACAAAAAGGGCAATATCATAATGTTATTTCGACCTCATAGCGTGGAACTATCATTAAAAAAAATGGAAATCATGTTTTTGACCGCACTGCCCCTTTAAACTCTTGTTCTACTTACCCATAGTCAGATGAAGTTGTGGATATTATCTGTATGTCTCTGTATGCAGTATGAAAGAAGTTAGCGGTAGTTTCACTAGCCAATGCTAACAAGCATTAGCGCAATGACTGGAAGTCTATAGGTACTGTAGCAATGCTAGTTAGTATTGGCTCGCAAAACTACCGCTACCTTCCTTCATACTGCACGCAGAGACATTCCAGACTCTCGCAGTATCCCTTTAATACTGGGCCGGAAAACAAAAACCTGCTCACTGTGGGTCCAGGTCCAGGATTGTAGAATACTGGAAGGAAGCTGCACCGCATATTTAAACCCCTAAGGGATGAATAATGCTGTAATGTCCAAGGCCACTAAATATGAAATACTGTCATTATAGTCCATCAGTATAAAGAGTTTATAAGCTTGCTTAATGCTGCCATAAAAATGACTTAACGGAGGTATTAAACAGTCATAGCAAAATGTAATGATCTGAGACTGTAGTAAACATCTATGACAAACACACCAGACAGCATAGTCACAGCACTCCTTCCTCTTCCTGGCTTCTAATCCTCTCTCTCTCTCTCTCTCTCTCTCTCTCTCTCTCTCTCTCTCTCTCTCTCTCTCTCTCTCTCTCCTTCTCTCTCTCTCTCTCTCTCTCTCTCTCTCTCTCTCCTCTCTCTCTCCTCTCTCTCTCTCTCTCTCTCTCTCCATCTAGACGGTGGACATACACAAGGAGAAGGTGGCGAGGCGAGAGATTGGCATCCTGACCACCAACAAGAACACGTCGCGCACACACAAGATCATTGCCCCCGGCAACATGGAGCGGCCGGTCCGGTACATCAGGAAGCCCATCGACTACACGCTGCTGGACGACGTGGGCCACGGTGTCAAAGTAAGAGTCCCCTGTATTTTAAAGTAGAAACCATGGTGTCTAAGTAAGAGTCCCCAGTATGTTAAAGTAGAAGTCACAGTGTCTAAATAAAAGTCCCCAGTATGTTAAAGTAGAAGTCACAGTGTCTAAGTAAAAGTCCCCTGTATGTTAAAGTAGAAACCACGGTGTCAAAGTAAAACATTTACATTACATTTTAGTCATTTAGCAGACGCTCTTATCCAGAGCGACTTACAGTTAGTGAATACATTTTATTTTATACTGGCCCCCCATGGGAAACGAACCCACAACCCTGGCGTTGCAAACGCCATGCTCTATCAACTGAGCTACATCCCTGCCGGCCATTCCCTCCCCTACCCTGGACGACGCTGGGCCAATTGTGCGCCGCCCATGAATCTCCCGGTCGCGGCCGGCTGCGACAGAGCCTGGATTCGAACCAGGATCTCTAGTAGCACAGTTAGCACTGCGATGCAGTGCCTTAGACCACTGCGCCACTCAGGAGCTAAAAGTCCCCTGTATGTTAAAGTAGAAACCATGGTGTCTAAGTAAGAGTCCCCTGTATGTTAAAGTAGAAGCCAGAGTGTCTAATTAAAAGTCCCCTGGACTGTCTAACCATGTTATTACCATTACATTACTTCCATTTAATTAATTAAATCAAGCTAATCAATAAACTGCCCTTTTAGTTAGGGAGTTGGTGTGTGGGATGGGGTGTGTGTGTGTGAAAGGAGGTAGGGGTGTGTGTGTGTGTGTGTGTGTGTGTGTGTGACGTACGTGTGTGTGAGAGAGAGACAGACGGAGCTTGATCTGGGCCAAGTGCTGACGCCATCATATCCCCCATGAATTGAGGGAAAATAATATTTCAGCTCTGTTTCCGGCTCAGTATTCATCTTTTATTCTCCCTCCCTTGGATCTCTCACTGATCACTGAAAAATACATTTAAAACACACCATCTCTCTGTGTCATTAATAGTAATTGTCTCTATGGTGTGTTATGCATGAAGGAATCTCTCTATTACTCCATAAGACTGTCTTATAGATATTATTTTCTAAAGAGGCCATAGTCACACATTTGTCTCAGTCTCATGATACACATGCATTGAGATTTTGTAGCAAAACAAATGAGTGTGTGTGTGTGAACTGCTCATTAGCCCAGCTCATCCTCACAGCTTATTTCCCCCTTGTTGAGGCAGGAGGAGTTCCCGGGGGCTTGCCTGGGACCTTGAATACCCAATCACTCTCCTCGCCTCCCGGTTACCGTGGTATCACCCCACCAGTCATTACTGACAGACAGTTGCCCCTAGAGACTGAGGCGAGTGTCAGATACTTCCCTCTGACGGCCGAGCGAGCTTCGCAACGATTAGACTCGTCGACTGTCACCAGTTACTGTAAACCCAAGTCACGGATTAGACCTCACTCACTGACTGATTGGCTGACTGACTACAACAGCTAGCTTCCAGTAGAATCCAAATCAGGCATTTGCCAGACAGAGCAGGTATTAGAGGAAGCTACATATTGGTTAGCTGTCGTTGATAAGGATCAGTATTAGGTATTAGCTAAATACAGAAGTCAGATCTCTACCCTTAAACAGTGAGCTACACTATATATACACACAAAAGTACAGTACCAGTCAAAAGTTTGGAAACACCTACTCATTCAAGGGTTTTTCTTTATTTTTACTATTTTCTACATTGTAGAATAATAGTGAAGACATCAAAACTATGAAAGAACACATATGGAATCATGTAGTAACCAAAAAAGTGTTAAACAAATCAAAATATATTTTATATTTGAGATTCTTCAAAGTAGCCACTCTTTGCCTTGATAACAGCTTTGCACACTCTTGGCATTCTCTCAACCAGCTTCATGAGGTAGTCACCTGGAATGCATTTCAATTAACAGGTATGCCTTGTTAATTTGTGGAATTATTTTTCTTAATGCATTTGAGCCAATAATTTGTGTTGTGACAAGGTAGGGGTGGTATACAGAAGATAGCCCTATTTGGTAAAAGACCAAGTCCATATTATGGCAAGAATAGGTCAAATAAGCAAAGAGAAACGACAGTCCATCATTACTTTAAGACATGAATGTCAGTCAATACAGAACATTTCAAGAACTTTGAAAGTTTCTTCAAGTGCAGTCGCAAAAGCCATCAAGCGCTATGATGAAACTGGCTCTCATGAGTATCGCCACAGGAAAGGAAGACCCAGAGTTATTAGAGTTAACTGCACCTCAGATTGCAGCCCAAATAAATGCTTCACAGAGTTCAAGTAACAGACACATCTCAACATCAACTGTTCAGAGGAGACTGCGTGAATCAGGC